AGACACATCACTTTCCTAGGTGTGAAAAAGGACTTAGAGGTTCGACGCGAGGCAGCCCAGCTCCAGCTGTGCAGAGATCTGCCTTGTCAGCTCTGCTTTACGTAATCTCTGGCAGATCCTGAAATAAATACCCTAACGAGAATACTCGCGTGCAAACCAGCATTTTTTTTCTTGCAACACTCATTGGAAACGCATTAACAAATTAGTTTTCAGAGAAATTAAATTAAAAGATAATTCAGTGGAGGGCCTCCCCGGTGGTGCAGCAGTGGAGCGCTGGGCTGTGAGGCTGCCCGCGGCCTCTGCAGCGCCGGTTCGATCCCCAGCCGCCGGCGAGGGTCCCACAAAAAATAAATAATTCGATGGAAATTCTACCTAGATAAACATCAGCTGACCCATCAGTAGGTGAGCCCCAAAACCCAGCTCCTGAGTAATTCAGAAATGGTGCACCTGAAGAAAGTGGGGAGCTGTTACAGGGCAGGGACCCCACGAACCCCCAAACCTGCCTGCTCTAAATAGGTCCTGCCGTCCGCCACATCAAGACAAAATATATTCTAGTGCGTAGACCTTTCATGGAAAGGAAATATAATACAATGAGAGTGCGACACAGACGAGACAAAGAATAGAGTTTCTAAATCAAGCACCCCAAGTCACCCAGCCCCTTGTGGGTAAATTCCCAACCCCACAGGGTTGCCCCAAAGCAGAGCCACTGAGCCCTAAAAGCTTCCCCCACATCTAAGACACCTTCTGGGGGACCCACAGGAAAGGGGCAGAAAGGGCCAGGCAGGGCTGGGACAGAAGGAGCCAAATCAACACTGAAGCTGCCGCTGTCACCCCCGCAGGTCTCACCCACGTCTGCCTCACCCGGCCCAGGACCAAGAAGCAAGTGCAGCTTCTTCACGTGTCTCTGCCCCACGGGCCGCCCCCAGGCCTCCTTCTGGCTCCCCATTCTGCTTCCTTCCCTCTCCAGGCTCCTCTCCAGCTTCTTCTCCCTGCTCAGCTCCCCCATCCCTTGGGTGGGGCGGGGGACCTGAACCTCCCCTTTTCCTGGGGAGCCCCCCCTAACAGTCAAGACAAAATCTAGACGAACGTCACTAACCCAGCTGACGCAACTGACATTGGTAGAAGACACCCCTAAAATGATGGCTGAATAACATGCATTTTTCTCAAGGACGTGGGCCGCCATGCCGCGGACGCTTGCAGTGAGGCCAACCACAGCCCCGGAATCGTGCGGGTCACGTCCTCAACCAGAACAGAATTAAAATAGAAATCAACGGTAAAACGAGAAACACGGTATCTCCAGATATATTTTCCTCCAATGACACATTTCCAAATCCCCGGAAGATCGAAGGAGCAATGACAAGTGAGGTCTACAGAAGACCGCGAGCCCGACGCTACCGCAAACGAGGCGTATCCGACTCTGCGGGCGGCGCCAGAGGGTGCCCAGGAGGAACACGGGCTGAATCGCCTCGTCCGGTTTCCCCACCCGAGCGCCATCCCGTTCCCATCCTCTCTCTTCGGGCAGCGCGAGTGTCTCCTGAATCCAATGACCACGAGAGCAGCCACGTCTGGTCTCCCGCGGAGGATGGCGCCCTTCAGCACAGCTTCGCCGCCAGCAGCGAGGGCTCGTGTTTTGCTGTGTTTCTAGGTCTTCACTGTCATTTTGTTGTCCTTCGCGCTAACGAAAGCTGGGGGTTGCTTTTCTTTCTTCTGCTGCTTGACGGATAGCTTGAGAACAAAGTCTGACATCTAGTCTGATTAAAATGCCGACACTCACGTCCCTTCTTCAGAGGCGCCTGGAAAATCTTTCCCATTAACCAAGTTGCTCGTGGAGCAGAATCCCACGGCAGTGAAAACCGGCCTCTTCGGAAGACCAGGACGCAGGTCAGTAGGGACTGTCACCCCACCAGAGCCTCGATCATGGATGGAAGGACCCTATCCTTCTCCTGGGAGTTGCGAGGCGGGGACACAACTCCCCACATTCTTGTGAGGGGCGGGCCCTAGAGCTGGAGCTGGGTTGAGATGGCCACCTTCCACCCAGCCAGCCAACATAAAGCAAATATCACAAGCTCCCATCCCAGGGAGCCCTAATCCAACCTGGGGAGACGCTGCAGGCAGCTCAGGCATCTGTGTATGGTGCTCGGAGAGCCCCGAGGAGTTCTTCAGACTTTCTCAGGGGCTCCAGCAGGAGAGTCTGTCCACAAACGCCATCATCACCACCACCGTCATCACCACCACCACCGTTCACCACCCCTCCAGCCCCCGAAGTCCAGATCCACACAAAGTTAACTGAGGCTTCTAGCAAGGGTTAGAGTGAGCCGATATCTGAAAACAGGTCTTGTCCACCCTGCTGGACCTCCTTAGGCAGAGGCTGCACTAATTTGCTCCAAGGTCATGAACGCATCAAAGACAACCCAGATGGCTCATGCAGCCTTTTTTTAACCAGCACAGGACTTAGAAATGCTTTGCGCCTCCCGTCCCCATCAGCCCTCTTCCCGACAAACTCTCTCCCCCCACTGCTCAGTTCCCACCCAGTGGTGGAAATTTGGGGACAGCAAGAGTGAAGACGTCTCCGTAACAAACCACTATTAAAATGCATCTCTATGGCAGCAACAGGTGATGCTTTTCAAAGCGGCTCCTGGTGCACATCTTATGGACACCCTGAAGATTCTGCCTGGAGAGGTCGAGCACCCAGGCAAGACAGCGAGCCAGAGACGTGGAGAATCCCTTAAGCGCCCACTGACACAGCACGAGGACAAGCAGAGGGTTGGAGAGCCCAAGGGCTAAGGACTCCCTGCCTCAAGGAACACAGTGTGGGCGCATGTGGGCGTCTAGCACCCCGGCTGCACGAGGCGCCTCTGACTGCACCACGGCCACCCCTGCACCCAGGGAAACAAATGTGCTCCCCACTGGATCCCTTCCTGCCAGGCCAGGGGCTTCACTTTTCATAACCAAAGGCCCCTCGGGGTGTTTTCCTCGACAAGAGAACAGTGTCCACACTGATAAGGATTCCACCTCCTCCCTGGAATGAAAAATGCTTCTAGTCAAATCGTCTACATTTGCCCTTTCAAGCTTCCCCTTCACTCAGAGCATTCCTCGATGGTCACGCTGGCAGCTGCATAAAGCGTGTCTCTCTGTGTTATGAAAACTAACGTCCCACCAAATGTTTACACACAGGCACTTTCCACTGCTGTGGGCAAAGCCATCCAGGAGTTTGCACACGGAACCGCAGTGCAAGCTGAGCACGGGACCGACGTCCCTGCCGCGAGAGCCCGTGCACAGCCCTGGCAGGCGTCGCCACAGCCCGGCCCGGGGAACAGAGCCACGCGCTCTCCCAGCGCTCGCCACGCGCCGGGGGCGACGCGCTTCAGGGACACAAGAGGGCGAGGCGCCTGGACAGCTTAGGATCTTCCCACCGCCCCCTCTGCGGAGACAGCTTTCGTGGACGAGCAGCCACGGCGATGCTCATTTCTCACCTCCCGTTTCTCCTGGTCTGCGGCTCCTGCCCGTGCCGTCCACGGCGCCGCCGAAGGCACTTGGGTCACTAAAGTCATGTCTTGCTGTGCAGCCCTGGCTCGGGGAGCTGGGCCTCCCCCCGCCCCTGACACCGCGACCATTTGCGTCACTGTGAAGCCGATTCCTCCCTTGGCTGTATTTTGGCCGGAGGCTCCTCCTTCCCAAGTGCCGTCTCTCACTCTCGCGGTCAGCCTGGAAGGGCCACAGTCGCCAATTACGTGTAGATACTGAATTTCCAGCTGCCTGCTGTGTCTTCTCCACCCAGTGTGCGAGTCTTCACACCTCGAGCTCGCTGCAGTCAAAGCCAGGCTGTCGCTTTGCTCCCTCCCTACTCTCGCGGTCCCGCATGCAACACACACCCGGGCCCTACCGCAGAGATCAGCAAGGCAAACCATCTCACCGCCTCACACCCCTCTCCGCCCGCCGCCGCCCAGCGCTGCCGCTGCCAAGTCAATTATCTCAGCACCGCTCGGCCACCTCTTCCCTGCCACAGCCACGGCCGCTGCTGCCCCGAGCGGCGATACGTATCATCTGGAGAATACTGACAACAGACCCGCCATGCCAATCTATTTTTCGTTGTATTACAAGCCCCTCTCCTCTTCAGAACGTGGCCAGTTATCCCCACAGAAGTTCACACGGATTGAAGTCCCACGCAAGTATCTGCAGCAACGGCCTCCAGTCTCCTTCCAGCCTTAGCGCCGGCCGCCCCCAGGCCTCGGCATACGGAGAACTTCGCCGGCCTGGAGCACATCCCCTCTTTGTTTCCCGCCATAAATTTCCACGCGCTGTTTTCCTCTTAGCGATGAATTTCCTAGACCTTTGCTACCTGGCAGCCCTACTCACCCCAGCGGTGAGGCACAAGCCTCTCTTCTCTTAGAAGGAGCCCATGAACCTCCCTACCGGCCCCCAAGAAAAAGTCAATCTAGGCTCCCCTGGACTTTGAGAAATGCACTAGAAATAGACTCAACAAGAAATGCCAAGGAAGAGCATGAGAGGAGTCCAACAATTCCAGGGTGTTGAGCCTGGAAACCAAGAACAATGGCAAGTCACCCTGAGAGGAAAAGCAAGCAAGGAGGGTCTTACCAGAAGGATGAAGGCCGATGAGGTTTTGTTTTTTTAAGCAAACTCTTCAGCGAAGTGGACACGTGTGCAGCTGACACACCACCTCATGGCCACCGTCCAGGAGACACACACCGCCAGCTGTTAGCAAGGACACACCACCCTCATTTGCCCTGAGTGCAAACGGTTGCATCCTTTCGGGAAACTCTGGGCAGCATCAGATAAAGCTGAAGCCCAGCAGACCCTGTCCCCCAGCAGCTCCGCGCACAGGAATGCACTCCAGAGAGGTGAGGATTTGAGCACGTCCACCGAAAATCATGTGGTAGTCATGATGACAAAAACACGAGCACCCAAGTGTCCAGCAAAGCTTGAGGGGTGACGATATCACATCCCAGTCACACTATTCAACAATGAAAGGAGCAACATACCACATGTAGAAGTGCAGGGTGAGCCTCGAGCACGATACTGCGTGACAGAAGTCTCATCCGAGGGAGACTCCAGCGATATGAAGTGACTCTTTGGAGGCAGGTGGGAGTCACTTCAAAGACGCGTCTACCCCTCCGGTATCACAAGGTTCCAGTCTTCAGTGAGCTGTTGGTGACAGGGTGAGGCCCCGTTTAGAAAAATCATAGAACTGTCCACACAGAGTCAGTGCATTTTCTCTAGATGACACTGCAATAAGGCTTTTAAAGTGGCCAACTTAGCGAATTTTCACCAAGTGAATGTTCCCACATAACAAACACCCCGTAAAAACAGAGAACAAGGGGCGCACCCCAGAAGCTCCAGACTCCCCCTCCTACCCATACCCCCAAAGCCAGTTATGTTTTGACTCCTTTCTATCACCGCGGCGGAGACCTGGCTGTTCTGCTCACTGCAGACTCCTCCACACCTAGAAAGTTCCTGGGGGTGAACAGGGCAGGCTGAGCTGCTTAATGACAGGCAGGAATTTGGGGGTCAACTAAATATCTGAAACCTTGACTGGGCCAACTCAGTTCATCAAAGAAGACAGAGCTTTTTGGAGCGAAGAGGGAAAGACAGTCTCTCGGAGAATGCCTGCAGTCAGGGGGAGGGCTGCCAAGACAGGTCCTACAACTGCTCATCCCAAGGACGAAGGTTTTGTAGCTGGGTGTGGGGAGGGCGTCGAGTGGGTGATGGTGGTTACTTTGCGGCGCACACATGTTGAGTCTTTGTACGGTACTCCTGGCGCTAACATAACCTGCCAGTCATGCCCCGACAGAAATAAATAGGTCAAAATGTCAGTCAAGACATGTTCTCATAAACCCAGGCCAGTCATTTCTTGCCTTGTAGCTGTAGGTGGAATGTGCACAACTAGCCAATTTAGATCAATAAAAACATTCTATTTATATAATATTTTGGTGACTTATAAGCATCTCTGCATTCACCGTGCAGGCTCTGAAACGGGATCCGCACTGCGTATTTAATAGAGAAGAATCGAAGCTTTAGCAGAAGGCATTTCCTCTTTCTTCCATCTGAGCGTTTCAACTGCTGGTAACTGTGCAAACATCATCAAATCTACCAAAAAAAAAAACCCACTCTACCACTGGCAATGCATGCCAGCCAGAACACTGATTTTTCTTCAAGTTCCCCACTTGTTACGGCTGATACGCATTCACGGGGCAGAAATGAAGACACACGGGGACTCACCACGGGAGGCTGGTCACCGAACCCCCACTCAGATCTGCATTCACCCTCCCTCCTGCCCTGCCTGAGCTGGGGCGGGGACCCTCGCGGCTCCGGGAATGAGCTGAGATGATCAGAACACACAGCAAGGCGCGTCCTATTTCACTTCCAGTGTCAGCACACGCCCCCCCTGCACCCTACAACGTCCAGACTTTGCAATAAGCTGTAAGATATAACGACCCTTCGTCAGTGCGATGGGTGTGACATGGTGTCACGTACATTCATCTGTCTTCCCAAGTAGCGTCCCTTCGTTGACTGGAGGGTGAGGCTGACTTGGACCACAGACAGGCCGTCTGGGGTAAAACACATGTGTAAATACTCCAGCCGTCGCAAGTCAATTGAGGTTATTTTTCGTTTAGAAATATTGCAAACAATCTCCAAATGTTGGCGTCCCCTGGTGATAATTGAACGTAGATTAGTTTTCGAGAAGATGATAATTACTCACTCGCAGAGATGGGTAATTACACGCCATGCGCGGGCGATACCAACACGACAAAGTAATTAAAGAAAGACGTTCTGCCTGTCAGTCAGCACAGATGGGGCAGGAAGACACTCAGGCTTGGCAAAGCCCCAGGGACAGGTGGGGGCCAAGGAGTGCCTGCCTCTTCTCACGGTAGAAAGACAAAGCCAGCACCGCACAGGGCCAGAAATCCAGGTCGGCTTCTCCACGGAGTATTTTAGTAATGACCAGGGTGGCGATTTCTCATCTTCTGCTCTCTTTGGCGGTTGCTGTTGTTCATTTTTACAATAGCACAAGTTTATGGAAATTGAAAAAACACCCAAACGTACAAAAATAAAGGTCATACACATTCATATAAACCTGGTAAATCCACAGGTATATTCTATGACCAATGTGTGTGTGGTTAAGTTTTTCATGCCAGCAACAAAAGCTTAAAGGAAGAAGTCGTTTAAATCCATCCGGTGTTTGTTCTGAGTTTGTCCTGCTGATTCCTCCTGATGCAGCGAACTCAACGTTCTTGACAATTTCTGATAAGAAAGTCCGTCGCTACCCAGTTCAGAGGCAATGAACCAAGTTGTGTACGTATCCCATTGAATTCGCGTTTTTGCCTTCATCAGTTACACACCGAGGAGTCGAATACTTGCATCAGATGGGAGATCTACATTTAACAGCTGAACAGAACCCCATAATGTTTCCATGGAAGCGGGACCAAATCTACAGCCCCTCCGTTCCCACAGTGCACGAGGCTTCCTTTTCTTCCACAGCCTCGCCCACACTTCTTTCTCCTCTTTTCGATAGGGGCCCCCTGAGCTGCCTCTAGGCCTATTTCAACTCCACTTCTGCATTTTCAGTCTCCTTGCCTTCCTTCTTGTCTCGCCTGTCTTGCTTCCTCTGGTTGTCCCTTGGTTTGTTCACTTCTCCAGCTCCCTACGCTACATCCTACTTTGGTTTCCAAGCAGTTTTCTGGGATTCCTTTGCATTTCTTAAATTTGCTTGACTGTCAGAAGTTGACTGTCCTTCAGTTTCCAGAAATTACTTTTAATTCTGCAACTCTTCCCATAGGTTCTGTGTTTGTTTTGCTTTGATTCTTGTTTACGTTTCACATGGAAAGAAGGTTTCTTCATCCGTGGCTCCTGTCCTCAAATAGGCTGCAGAAGTTGTATCATCTTCATTCCACATTCATTGGAGCATTTTTCAAATTCCATTGATTTAATTCTGCGAAGCTCGCCTGAGTGCTGTACATAGCTCCCGCTTGAATCTCCCTGGGTAACAAATGTTCACTTACCGCTTGCTGGCTATGCTAGCATGGAATCTTCTCAAGTTCCTGCTGTCAGAGCACAAGGACATGTATCTCTGTTGATAAGTACGGCCTGCCTGTGGTTAAGAGCACAGCGCTGTGCTCTTCAAATTTTGTGGAGAGGCAGAGCTCAAGTTAAGTGTCCCCATAACAATTTCAAAATTGAGAGAAACTGCTGTTGTCCATAATAAAAACCAAGAGCATATTTGAAACACCGAAGCAGAAACCCAGGATCAAAGCTATTACCTGTTTGTGAAGGAACAAGCTGTGCACACTTGCACGTGACCAACTACAATCCCCAACGGTGCTTTCCCAGCCTTCTGGTAGACCTGGTTTCCTGTGGCGCAGCGGGGCACGCCGGTTTCCACCACTGCTCCAGGCCCCTGTTTTCTACCGTTGTGACTGGGAGATCCCATGAATGTGTTCCCCGATGTGGGGACCTTCTCCATCGGTGACGCACTCTGGCCCTAACACAGCCCTGCAGGCTCCGGGACTGTGCAAAACAAAACAGTCTCTGTAGGCTCCTGTCAGGAGCAACAATCTGCTGATCGTCCAACACGAAATAAGACATGTGTGCAAATAATTCTACATGCCCGCCTTTCCACAACTGCTGTTTTCTCCATCTCACCGTTTCTGCCCACTTGAGGGGGTCACTGAATGTGCGAAGGTAAAAAACAGATACTTGTTTGCTGCTAAATTTCATCACAAACTTTCCTTTTTCGTGCCTTTTTGCAGGAAAGGCTAAGGAGGCTCGTGAATCACACACATTAACATTCACATCCAAGGAGCGGGAGCAAAAAAGTCAGGAGCAATAAAAACATAAATGAATATTTTATTTCTAAGTGCGTCTCCCCTGAGTGCAAGGAAGGAATTGTTCATTTCCAGAGTCAAGTGCCAGCTCGCCGGCGTTCTCTGCTCCCCCTCGGCGAGCTACGCAGCCTGCTGGCCAAGTGCTGACTCTGTCAAAGGGATCCAGGCTAATATTACGGGGGTGAGTTTTATGTTTAGTACGTCAGCCTTCATTCTACATCTGACAGCAAGTAAGTGCTCATTTTGAACATTTTTTATAGATGCCATCTCAAATATAGTGCCACCCAAAATTGCTGTGTTTAAATTGCCTTAACATCGTCTGAATTGTGTTCACTGCAGACGAGCCCAGGAGGAGCTTCAAGGATGATGATTTTCTAAAAATACCAATGATTTGCACGTTCTTTCCATCTCAGAGCAATTGGGTTGATGACATATTTTTATCTACTTGTCGGGCACGGAGAAAGCGGTTAGCAAGAACTCTCCAAGTTGCATTGTGCATTTCAAATAAAATGATCCAGCCCGGATCTAAATTTATAAATCGGGCCACACTGCGTGTTCTGGGAGAGACAATCGGGTCCATTCTTCCTCTCAGAGGATCACTTTATGTGCTCTGAGTGGACTCATGAGCCTCCACTCCATCCTTTCAGCAAATATCTTTGCCCAATATCTTTGGGGGAACAGAACACATTCTTCGAGTCCGTATGTAGGGGTTAGCTGTCCATCACACCACAGCGATTCCTCACCGTAGCTGCTGATCAATAATAGCCCAGCCTTGTGTACTGGGTCACAAATCACGAATTACTTCTAAATGTAACCCCACACAGTGAGCGAGGAGAAAAAATAGAGACAGAGCGGCTCCGTGGGTTGTGTTCATGTCAAAAATACCCAAACACCCTTGTCTTTAAATGTCTTACCTAAGTTCCTCATGCAATCTGCCTCTCAAAATGTATCCTAGGTGCAGCACAAGCAAGGAAATCTAAATAGAAGAGCTGTTTGTGAAAGGAAGACTTGCTAGAAGAGTCTTTGTCTATACGTTGCATCTTTCTTTGGCGTCTCAGAGGAAGAGTAACGATTCTTTCCAGGTGTGACATTCAATTGCTTCATACCAGGATGCTGGGGTGTCCAGCCCTGAGAGGGGGCATGGACAACTCCCACCAGCCACCGGCCACTGTGAGGCAGCCAGGGACCCTGTGGACAAGCAGCCGGGCCAGCCTCATGGGACAGGTGGGGTTAGGAGATTGAAAGCAATGAGCTGAGGGGCCTCCCTGGTGGCACAAGGGGTTAAGACGCAGCACTATGAGGCTGTCCACGGCCTCTGCAGCA